GCACTGACACTGTACTAATGGCACTGGGCAGGAAGGGGTTAACATGAGCAGCGATCAAAGGGCTAACGGTGTGCTGTGTGCTGTTTCACAGTAAGCTCTGTGTGTGTGTGCTTTACTGTAATCACACTGATTTAGATAGCTGTGCTGTGCAGTGTGCACAAGCTGACAGGGAGGAGAACTGTATTGTATAAAAACAGTTCTCCCCGTCGAAGAAGCTCAGCAATCTCCGGCGCTGGCGAGTAATCACCAACCGGGACCCGGTGATTGACAGCCGCAGCCGCGAATGGCAGTGTGGGTAGGGCGTGCGAGCGCTCCCCCTACCCGGAAATGCAAAATCAGGTATATGTATGTGATTTTGCACTCCCGTGCCGCCCTGTAGCAGGGAAGATCTACCTCACAAACTAAATTTTAGTGTTTGTTCACACCAGGTGCATGTGCGATAACGTATGTGAAATTGTGCGTTTTTCCACATCACAGAGCCTTTTCCAGAGGCAAGAGGGTTCCATTAGTTGGTAATGGCATCCCCACACATCTAGCAAATGCACGTGCGTTTGTGCCTGCTATAAAACGCATAGTACTGCAGTGTTTTGGTGTGGTGCCAAAAATGATGCTGGCACCTTTTTGGTTTTCTTCCAGATCATAGAGCAACTCCTTAAAAATTAGTTGTGCTGGATCACCCAAAAAAAATGTGCACATTTGCACGCACCTCCTCGTGTAAACAAGCCCTCAGACTAGTGTGCCCTGAGATTGTGCACAATTATAAAGGGTGCCCTGAATGAAAAGAAGTTGAGAAACACTGTCCTAAATGCATGCAACTTGGCTGGCAGGGACTGCAGCATGTAGGAGTACGGCCTAAATCATAACAATAAAAGGGAAAACCGAGGAAGAAACAGGGACAGAGGTGTAGCTGGCCAGCTAAGACCAGTCCTAGGTTGCTAATATGGTTCACATATATGTGTATACCAAACCTGCCAATAACCTCAGTACAGTGTATATGTGCATATGTTAAAGCCAAAAGCAGAATCATTGCTGTAATTTATGTCTTTGATTGTTATATGACATTATATAAATTCATTGTGTTAGCAGAAGCAGAAAAGGAAAATATGCCTTTAAGACTTAGTTAGAGCTGAGCCAATCACAGACAGCCTCACACTGTACAGAGCCTAACCAATCCCAGCCAGTTTCACATTTGTGCCTGTGTAAAACTCCCTGCTAAGATTTTCTAGAGACACATGCTCACCAGACAGAAGAGGAAACAGACAAAGTTCCAATCAGAAAAGCTTTATGGAAGCAGAGAAGGCCAAATAGGTATTTAATGCACTTGTGTGTTCCTCTGCACAATTGTCAGTTAAAGTAACGCAGAGCCGTAACACAAACTGCTTTTGTAACTGCTTCCTGACCACCCTATAGCAGAAATATGCTACAGGGCGGCACAGGTGTGCAAAATCACATATACTGTATATATATGTGATTTGTGCACCTGTGGTTTTCACGCCCCTCCCAGATAGCGTCAGATTGCCTGTCAGTACACCAGTAATCACATTTAACCCCTTGAATGCCAGGAACACGCTCATACACAATAAACCTCCATTGCTAGTATAGTGTCTGAACGGATCAATATCTTTGATCAGATCAGCACTATACCAGCGTTCACATTAGTATAGTGTCCCCAAAAATGTAGCATTAGCGGGATCAGCCTGCCAGCACCTGCATTTAGCCCCTACGGTTACCTCCCCCCCCCCTTTCTCCCCCAGTAAGTGCAGTGTCAGTATCAGTCACTGTCACTTGATACATTGCACACAAAACTACAGTGTTGGCAGAATCAGGCCTGATATCTGTTAGCACTTGCCGGTAAATTTTGATGACTCTCATATGCACCAGAGTACCAGTACTAGTGCCATGCTACCTTTCGGTGAACTGGCGAGCACCAGTGGCCTAGTAAGTCTTTCACATACCAGCACTGCGAGTGATGTGGCGAGTCCCATAAGTGCAGTACAAGCTGGTGTGGTGGTGAGCACAAGTATTGTCCCACAACACAGAATTCGCACACAGGCCTGTACAGCCCATAGTATGTGCTTGCAAATCCCGATTGGCAGCCCACAAATCCCTCAGCACCTGTACTTCCCCATTCGCTGCCCAACCCGGAAGTCAGTTGGAAACAGAAAATGTAACTACTCCCCTTGATTTTTTGGAGCTGTTTTTCACGGAAGATCTGTATGCATTGATTGTGGATCAAAGCAATTTATATGCACAACAATTTATAGCTGCCAACCCAAATTCAAACCTTGCCAAGCCATTCGCATGGAAACCCATTACGGTTTCCGAATTCAAATTTTTTTTGGACCTAACCCTCATCATGGGCATTACTAAAAAAAATGAATTGCGGTTGTATTGGTCCACAGACCAGATTCATCATATGCCCGTGTTCTCTGCTGCCATGGCCAGGCATAGATATGAGAGTATAATGTGTTTTATGCATTTCAACGACAATACACTGTCATTCTCGGGGTGACCCTGAATTTGACCAGCTCCACAAAATTCGGCCCCTTGTAATTTACCTTAACCAAAAATTTGCAGATGTCTATACTCCCCAGCAAAAAATCTACGTTGATGAGTCCCTCATTAATTTTTCTGGCCGCCTTGCATTCAAACAATTTCTCCCCAGAAAGCATGAGAGATATGGGGTCAAGATGGGTAAGACCTGTGAGAGGGCAACAGGCTATACATATAAGTTTCAGATTTACGAGGGAAAAGATAGTAACATGGAACCCCCCGGATGCCCAGACTACATGGGAAGCAGTGGCAAGATAGTTTGTGTCAGGAATGGACTTGCCAGTGGTGGTGGAACTCACCTGCCTTGTGGGCTGCAGTACCAGGGCTGGCCAGCGGGTGCTCTCAGCAACCAGAGGCTCACTCCTGCAATGAGCCATCACCTGAAGCTGATTACAACAGGTGTATTTAAGGAATGGCCAGGCCTGTGATCAGGGCCTTGGTGTATGTTTCCCATGGGCCCCTGTACCTGCATCCTGTCTGCTTTCTGCCTGATCCAGATTCTGCTTCGATCCCTGACTCTGCATGAACTCCGCCTGTCCTGACCTCGGCTATTCCTGACTACTCTTCCGCCTGCTCCTTCTGCCCTGCCTGCCCGTTTGATACCGACCCGGCCTGCCCAACTACGCTTAGTATTGTTTCTATTGTTATCTGTTGGAGGTTTGGGTTGGTTTGTTTGCACTGTGTTGTTGTTTAGTCTTGCACTGCGTCTATGTTTTGTTTAGTCTTAATAAATTGTCTTATTGTCAAGGTCCTACCTTTTCCCAGAGGTTATGTTACTCCATGTGCTGGCATCCATCTTGGATTTCTGCTGAGCATGGTGGGAATCTTTTATGCCTTCAGGTCTCTGAGGTCCATCCCCTAGAGGGGTGTGACTGAGTACATATAAGCCTGTGATCTGCACATGCTCTTTGCACTTGTGTCTTGTGTCTTTGTCTTGCTACAGCTCTGTGTATACGCTCATGACTCTTCTGGTATCTGACTCGGCTTGTGACTAAGACCATTCTCTGTGTTTTCCTTCGATCTGACCTTCCGTTGGTGAACCCGGCCCGTGACCTGTGATTCTCTGTCTACTGTTCTGTACCGTTTTGTCCCGTTGTTGTTGACCCGGCCTGCCTGACTACGCTATTGTCATTCTTACCAGCTACACGCCATTGGCGGCGGCCATTACCGCAGCCGGGGTGTCTCGGGGGCCGCGACCTGGTTCCTGGCTGCGTCAAGTCCATCCCCACCATCAGGGACCCTGGTGAAGGGCAGCCTGGGACTTAGACTCCGCGCCCTGAGGGACTTCGGTCTGTTGGTGGTGGTTGTCGTCAGCCAGTGCGTTACCCTGCCACTAGGCCTACCTGTCCTTTCCACAGCCCTGCCCTGACACTTATTCACACTATACCTGAAGTCTGCATTTCCCTGTGTCAGTCCACACATTTCTGGTCATACCCGGATCCCTAACAGAACACCAAGGCCATTCCTGACCAGAAGTGGTTGCACAGGGAAGCCATCTTGGCTTATTGTTGTTGGGAAGGATGCATCTTGATGAGGTGATATATTTGTCTCTGCTAGTCTGATGAAAGAGATTATGCTTATCAGACTCTGAAGGAGTATACCAGGGATCAAGTACTAGAATGCATAAGGATAGCTTATTGCCTAGTAGATCAGGGCACAGAGTTCTCTGTGCAACCATTAATTCAGGTTTGTGCAGGGTTGGCTTCATCTGGTACCCCCGAATGCAAGGATGAATTTTTGCCGCCATTTAGTGCCGACCAGGTAGAGTCCTTGGTGTGGTTATTGGAGGATGATGTGGATTACTTCTTGGAGCGTTATTCTGCATGTTCACAACAGGTGCTAAGAGATTGTATAAACGCAGTGCAGTCTTTGACCAGACAAGCTTTGTGTAAGCTGAGCTTTGTTCAACCCATACTGCAGACATGGTCAGACTTGTTGCACCCCAGCCTCAGTCAGCTTGCAACGTCATTCCTCTGCTCAAGGCACTCTTCCTGCATCCCCGACAGCACCCCCAGTGACAGCCCAGTATACTCTGCTAACTACCACATATCAGTCCCCTTCTCCCACTCGCTGCACCTATCCTATCTTTAACCCTGTAAAGAAGTCCTCTGTAGCAACTGCTCCCTCCTTTGTTCCATCCCTCAGCTCTTCTCTGCCTACTGCTGCTCTATCCACTTACAAACCTGCGCTTACTTCCTGCGCTCCAGTAACTAAAACCAGGAAAAAGCGAAAATTCTTTCCAACCAATACCATCCTGCCAGTATCCAAACCGGTCAGCCTGCCGTCTGAGAACACGCCTTTCGTGGTTCAGCCTTATACCCTGATGCCCGATGACCCAGTGTACCCTACCCAGCTTGATGTGTCTACCCAGCCTGATGGTCCTATTATGCCAGATGACTCGGTGCCCGATGTCGAGCCAGACAATCCAATGCCAGATGACCCGGTACCCGCTGTCGAGCCAGATGACCTGATACCAGATGACCCGATGCCCGCTGTCAAGCCAGACGATCCAAAGCCTGATGATCCGTTGCCCGCTGTCGAACCAGATGACCCGGTACCCGCTGTTGAGCCAGATGACCTGATGCCCACTGTTGAGCCAGATGATCCAATGCATGATGACTCGGTGCCCGCTGTCGTGCCAGATGACTCGGTGCCCACCGTCGTGCTAGATGACTCGGTGCCTGCTGTCGTGCCAGATGACTCGGTGCCCGCTGTCGTGCCAGATGACTCGGTGCCCGCTGTCGTGCCAGATGACTAGGTGCCCGCTGTCGTGCCAGATGACTCGGTGCCCGCTGTCGAGCTTGGTGATCCAGTGCCCGCGGTTCTGCCAGATGGCTCGGTGCCGCTGTCGTGCCAGATGACTCAGTGCCCGCTGTCGTGCAGGTGACTCGGTGCCCGCTGTCGTGCCAGATGACTAGGTGCCCGCTGTCGTGCCAGATGACTTGGTGCCCGCTGTCGAGCTTGGTGATCCAGTGCCCGCGGTTCTGCCAGATGACTCGGTACCCACTTTCCTGCCAGATGACTCGGTGCCCGCTGTCGAGCTTGGTGACCCAGTGCCCACGGTTCTGCCAGATGGCTCGGTGCCCGCTGTCGTGCCAGATGGCTCGGTGCCCGCTGTCGTGCCAGATGACTCGGTGCCTGCCGTCGTGCCAGATGACTCGGTGCCTGCTGTCGAGCTTGGTGACCCAGTGCCCGCAGTTCTGCCAGATGACTCGGTACCCGCTTTCCTGCCAGATGACTCGGTGCCCGCTGTCGAGCTTGGTGACCCAGTGCCCGCGGTTCTGCCAGATGGTCCGGTACCCGCTGCCTTGCCTGTTGCTCCGCCTGATGGCCCGGTGCCTGCTGCTCCGCCTGATGGCCCAGTGCCCGCGGTTCTGCCAGATGACTCAGTGCTCCTGCCTGATGACTCGGTGCCCGCTGTCGAGCTTGGTGACCCAGTGCCCGCGGTTCTGCTAGATGACTCGGTACCCACGGTCGTGCCAGATGACTCGGTGCCCGCTGTCGTGCTAGATGACTCGGTGCCCGCTGCTCCACCTGATGGCCCGGTGCCCGCTGCTCCGCCTGGTGACCCAGTGCCCGCGGTTCTGCCAGATGACTCAGTGCTCGCTGTCCTGCCAGATGACTCGGTGCCCGCTGTCGAGCTTGGTGACCCAGTGCCCGCGGTTCTGCTAGATGACTCGGTACCCACGGTCGTGCCAGATGATGACTCGGTGCCCGCTGTCGTGCTAGATGACTCGGTGCCTGCTGCTCCGCCTGATGGCCCAGTGCCCGTGGTCCTGCCAGATGACTCGGTACCCGCTGTCCTGCCAGATGACTCGGTGCTCGCTGTCGAGCTTGGTGACCCAGTGCCCATGGTTCTGCTAGATGACTCGGTACCCACGGTCGTGCCAGATGACTCGTGCCCGCTGTCGTGCCAGATGACTCGGTGCCGCTGTCGTGCCAGATGACTCGGTGCCCGCTGTCATGCCAGATGACTCGGTGCCCGCTGTCCTGCCAGATGACTCGGTGCCCGCTGTCGAGCTTGGTGACCCAGTGCCCGCGGTTCTGCCAGATGGCCCGGTGCCTGCTGCTCCGCCTGATGGCCCAGTGCCCACGGTTCTTCCAGATGACTCGGTGCCCGCTGCTCCACCTGATGGCCCGGTGCCCGCTCCTCCGCCTGGTGACCCAGTGCCCGCGGTTCTGCCAGATGACTCAGTGCCCGCTGTCAAGCCAGATGACTCGGTGCCCGCTGTCGAGCTTGGTGACCCGGTGCCCGCGGTTCTGCCAGATGACTCTGTACCCGCTGTCCTGCCAGATGACTCGGTGCCCGCTGTCGAGCTTGGTGACCCAGTGCCTGCGGTTCTGCCAGATGGCTCGGTGCCCGCTGTCGTGCCAGATGGCTCAATGCCCGCTGTCGTGCCAGATGGCTCGGTGCCCGCTGTCATGCCAGATGACTCGGTGCCTGCTGTCGTGCCAGATGACTCGGTGCCCGCTGTTGAGCTTGGTGACCCAGTGCCCGCGGTTCTGCCAGATGACTCGGTACCCGCTGTCGAGCTTGGTGACCCAGTGCCCGTGGTCCTGCCAGATGACTCGGTACCCGCTGTCCTGCCAGATGACTCGGTGCCCGCTGTCGAGCTTGGTGACCCAGTGCCCGCGGTTCTGCTAGATGGCTTGGTGCCCGCTGTCATGCCAGATGACTCGGTGCCCGCTGTCGAGCTTGGTGACCCAGTGCCCGCGGTTCTGCCAGATGGCCCGTTGCCCGCTGCTCCGCCTGATGGCCCGGTGCCCGCTGCTCCGCCTGATGGTCCGGTGCCTGCTGCTCCGCCTGGTGACCCGGTGCCCGCGGTTCTGCCAGATGACTCGGTACCTGCTGTCCTGCCAGATGGCTCGGTGCCCACTGTCGTGCCAGATGACTCGGTGCCTGCTGTCGTGCCAGATGACTCGGTGCCCGCTGTCGAGCTTGGTGACCCAGTGCCCGCAGTTCTGCCAGATGACTCGGTACCCGCTTTCCTGCCAGATGACTCGGTGCCCGCTGTCGAGCTTGGTGACCCAGTGCCCACGGTTCTGCCAGATGGCTCGATGCCCGCTGTCGTGCCAGATGGCTCGGTGCCCGCTGTCGTGCCAGATGACTCGGTGCCCGCTGTCGTGCCAGATGACTCGGTGCCCGCTGTCGAGCTTGGTGACCCAGTGCCCGCAGTTCTGCCAGATGACTCGGTACCCCCGCTTTCCTGCCAGATGACTCGGTGCCCGCTGTCGAGCTTGGTGACCCAGTGCCCGCGGTTCTGCCAGATTGTCCGGTACCCGCTGCCTTGCCTGCTGCTCCGCCTGATGGCCCGGTGCCTGCTGCTCCGCCTGATGGCCCAGTGCCCGCGGTTCTTCCAGATGACTCGGTGCCCGCTGCTCCACCTGATGGCCCGGTGCCCGCTGCTCCGCCTGGTGACCCAGTGCCCGCGGTTCTGCCAGATGACTCAGTGCTTGCTGTCCTGCCAGATGACTCGATGCCCGTTGTCGAGCTTGGTGACCCAGTGCCCGCGGTTCTGCTAGATGACTCGGTACCCACGGTCGTGCCAGATGACTCGGTGCCCGCTGTCGTGCCAGATGACTCGGTGCCTGCTGCTCCGCCTGATGGCCCAGTGCCCGTGGTCCTGCCAGATGACTCGGTACCCGCTGTCCTGCCAGATGACTCGGTGCCCGCTGTCGAGCTTGGTGGCCCAGTGCCCATGGTTCTGCTAGATGACTCGGTACCCACGGTCATGCCAGATGACTCGTTGCCCGCTGTCGTGCCAGATGACTCGGTGCCCGCTGTCGTGCCAGATGACTCGGTGCCCGCTGTCGTGCCAGATGACTCGGTGCCCGCTGTCGAGCTTGGTGATCCAGTGCCCGCGGTTCTGCCAGATGGCTCGGTGCCCGCTGTCGTGCCAGATGGAAAACAACTGTGGTGGATGACCGAAGAATTCTTTCCCTGGTGAAGAAAACACCCTTCACAACAGTTGGCCAGATCAAGAACACTCTCCAGGAGGTAGGTGTATCAAAGTCAACAATCAAGAGAAGACTTCCACAGAGTGAATACAGAGGGTTCACCACAAGATGTAAACCATTGGTGAGCCTCAAAAACAGGAAGGCCAGATTAGAGTTTGCCAAACGACATCTAAAAAAGCCTTTACAGTTCTGGAACAACATCCTATGGACAGATGAGACCAAGATCAACTTGTACCAGAGTGATGGGAAGAGAAAAGTATGGAGAAGGAAAGGAAGGTCACCTGACTTGAATCCGATTGAGCATGCATTTCACTTGCTGAAGACAAAACTGAAGGGAAAATGCCCCAAGAACAAGCAGGAACTGAAGACAGTTGCAGTAGAGGCCTGGCAGAGCATCACCAGGGATGAAACCCAGCGTCTTGTGATGTCTATGCGTTCCAGACTTCAGGCTGTAATTTATTGCAAAGGATTTGCAACCAAGTATTAAAAAGTGAAAGTTTTATTTATGATTATTATTCTGTCCTATTGCTTTTGGTCCCTTAACAAGTGGGAGGCACATATGCAAACTGTTGTAATTCCTACACCGTTCACCTGATTTGGATGTAAATACCCTCAAATTAAAGCTGAAAGTCTGCAGTTAAAGCACATCTTCTTCGTTTCATTTCAAATCCATTGTGGTGGTGTATAGAGCCAAAAATGTTAGAATTGTGTCGATGTCCCAATATTTATGGACCTGACTGTATGTGAAATTACTCCCCAAAATACATTCTGCTACTTCTACTATTTCATAAAATGAGCACAGGTGATCAAATACCACTAAAAGAAAGCTCTATTTGTGTGAAATAAAGGACATAAATTTCATTTATGCATCATATTGCATGACCGCGCAATTGTCAGTTAAACTAGTGCAGTGCTGTATAGCAAACAAATGGCGTAAATTGCAGTATCTATACCATAGTTTGTAGATGCTATAACGTTCACACAAAGCAATCAATATACACTTTTTTTTACCACAAACATGTAGCAGAATACATTTTGGCCTTAATGTATAACTAACTTTGAGTTTACTAAAAAAGTAAAAAATAGTTTCTTAAATTTTCGGTCTTTTTTTGTTTATAGAGCGAAAAATAAAAAGCACACAGGTGATCAAATACCACTGAAAGAAAGCTCTATTTGTGTGAAAAAAGGGATGCAAATTTCGTTTGGCTACAGCATTGTATGACTGCATAATTATCAGTTGAATTAGTGCAGCGCCGAGTAGCAAAAAGAGACCTGGTCATTAAGGGGGGTAAATCCTCTGGGGGGCAAGTGGTTAATGCCAATTTATTGTTACAATTGTGTTGTTAGCTGTGATTGGTCACAGTGATCACATGGTACAGACAGGGCCAATCACAGACCATCTGTGATTACCTGTGACCAATCACAACTAATCACAACAAAACAAACTGAATAAATCGATTTCCTTCAGTAAGATGCTTGCTTATAGTAGTGAAATTCACTGCTATAAGCAATCATAACTGTAAAACAAATAAAATCCTGATTACTTCCCCAGAGTAGTACAATGTTACTATGGAAACATTATATTGCTCTGGTTACAGTGTGTTAAAAAAAATCATAAACTAAGAAAAAAATGTAACAAAAAAGAAAATAAATAGAAAAAAAAAATGTTTTTCATACTGTCTCCAGTCAGTGTCCCTGATCACCGCCACACCAGTTACATGATGATGCTGGTGACAAAAATGTGAAAAAAAAAAAAAAATTGTGAAAAAAATGATCCAAAAAAATTATGACAAAAAATGACTTAAAAAAACTCACCATGCCCCTTACTAAATACCTTGGACTGTCTACTTTCCAAAATGGGGTCATTTGGGGGATATCTGTACTGTCCTGACATTTTTGTGTCTCAAGAAATTAGGCTGTCAGTATATAAGGATTGATCAATTTTCAGATATATACCATAGTTTGTGGACTCTATAACTTTCCTACAGACTAAATAATAAACACTGATTTTGGTAATTTTCACCAAAGAAATGTAGCAGAATACATTTTGGCCTAAATTTATCAACAATTATCTGTTTGCAAAATTTTATAACAGAAAACAGCTGTGTTTGGTCATAGAGTGCACGTCTACAGATGGACCAGAACTTCCTAGTACAGGCAACAAGAGCCTTTGAGTCTTATGGTATGAAGAAGAGATGGTCATTCTGGGAGAGGATGCCACCACAGAAAGGAAACTTGCAGCCACTGAGAAGGTGCAAAAGAGACAAAAATAATGGGTATGCTTCAAAGACGTTAGCAGCAACCCCTGTACCTGTCTTTGTCATAAGGGAGGGCCCGAGAATCTCAGGAAGGACTTTAAACCCTTCCCCTACAGGAGATGTGGAAGCAGGGGCGGACTGAAAACTCATGGGGATCATGGGGCCCCTGTGTCCTTGCCCAAACTCAAAAAAGTCTACCAAAAAGGTACCAGGGGCATCTCATGGGGCCCCCTACTGACCCCAGGCTCTCGGGCAGTGCCCGAGTTTCGCAATGGTCAGTCCGCCCCTGTGTGGAAGGGTTCTTTCAGGAATTTGGTACAATAGCTGACAGGCTGTCATGCATTGTCACACTTCCTGCTCTGTAACTGCTACCACTCTGTCTCTGTCACCTAGCAACCAGTCTAAACAAAAGCCACAAGAAATTAAAGTTCTACACTGACGGATCCTGTCATCACTCTGCCTAAGAACTTGCTTCACATCATGCCTCCTACAAGAGACCCATTTCCATATCCCAGATATGAAAATGACAACTCCTTCCAGGGAAAAGAAACACAGGTATGATTTTGTCACATGCTAGTTCTTCTAAAAGGAATGTTTACACAGGTTTGACTGAAAGTGACACCTCCGTGTAGCTTGTACTGAACATACAGGAATATATGAGAAAATCTTCCACCAGCAGTCTTTATAAGGCCTCATTCACACAGCCTTAAAAATATTACTGATAATTAAGCAAGGAGCAAAAGTTTCTGCATAAATAGATTTGTTTTTAATGCATAAAAATTGTCTCATTCTTTTTTTCAGTGGTATATGTGTATACGCATGTCACACATGCAGATCCATAAATAAAAAACACTTGTAAATGTGTTTTTGTAATTTCCATGTTAATGAGGCTTTATGCAATTTTGTTGCTGCTTTTTGCTCTGATGTTTTTGTTTTTTTTAATAATCCCCACTGCCCTATAGCAGAAATACTGCTACAGGGTGTCGGGGGTGCGCAAAATCTCGTATAAATATTCTGCATTTCCGGGAGCTGCACATGCGCCTTACCCGTGCCTCCGTTCATGGCCGCGGCTGTCAGTCACTGGGTCCCTGCCGGTAATTACTCACTGGCGCCCGGGGATTTCCGATGATCAACCGACGGGGAGGACGACTGTTTTGTTTACCAACGATCCGCCTCCCTGTCAGCTCGGGGACACTGCTCTGGATGCCTGTGTACAGTGTCAGTGCTTTTTTTTAGCACTGATCACTGTACTGGTGTTACTGGGGATGTCAGTGACACCAAGTCAGTTTCCCCCAGTGTCAGAATGTCTGCCGCAGTCCCATGATAAGTCACTGATCACCGGCATTACTAGTAAAAATTAAATAAAAAAAAAATCCCAGTATATATACCTTCATTTGTAAACGCTGAAACTTTCACGTAAACAATTAATTTACACATATTGGGATTTTCTTCTAGCAAAGACATGTCGCAGAATACATTTTGTTGTAAATTTATACCGAAATTAGATTTTTAAATTTTTTTTACTGGACATGTTTAACCACTTCCCGACCGGCCGTTGCATATAAACGGCCGGACGGTGGCAGTACGGGGTCGGGTGGCCGTTTATGAACGGCCTCCCCGCACCCTGCTTGTGCGCGCTCCCTGGGAGCACGCAGCACCGCGATCCGGTGCCCGCTGTGTCCTCCGGACACAGTGAAACACCGATCGTCGGACGGGACCTCTGTACGAGGTCCCGATCATGTGATCACTGATTGGCCAATCAGTGATCACATGCAAAGTAGTAAGCAAGATGTCACTTGTGACATCATTGCTTACTACGTGTGAAATCTGTGAATGATCACAGAGGTCACATGGTACAAGGCTATTCACAACAGCCTTGTACCATGTGACAAGCTGTGACCAATCACAGCTCACTCAGTACTTCTCAATGAGTGCAGGAATGCACACAGAGAGAAAGAGAAATGATTGCTTTTACATCCTATATGGGTGTAAAAGCAATCCTTGTAAAAAAAAAAAAAAAAAATCTTCATCACCCCCCACAAGTAGTACAGTGTCACCATGGTGACACTGTACTGCTAGGGTGACAGTATGTAAAAAAAAAAAAAAATAATAATAAAAAAAAATAAAATAAAAATGTAAAAAAAAATGTTTAAAAATTATAATTTTTGGTTATAAACTAATTTGTTTTTCTTTTTTTTTTACTAAAAAGATAACGAAATACATTTTGGCAAAGATTTATGATGAAATATTATTTATTTGCAAAATGTTATAAAAAAAACACTTTTGTTCAAAATTTTTGGACTTTTTCATTTACATAGTAAAAAAAATAAAAATCCCAGCAGTGAATAAATACCACCAAAATAAAGCTTTATCTGTCGCAAAAAAATGGGAAAAAATTAATTTGGGTACAGTGTTGCATGACTGCGCAATTGTCATTCAAAGTGTGATAGCGCTGAAAGCTGAAAATTGCCCTAGTCAGGAAGGGGGTAAAAGTGTCCAGTCTAGAAGTGGTTAATAGCAAAAAGTCAAAAAAAAATTTTTTGTCAAAATTTTTTATAGCACAAAAAACAAAAAAAAAACTCACATTCAATCAAATCCCACCGAAAGAAAGATCAATTTGTGGGAAAG